CACCGCCACTTCTCAAGGCCAGCACATCGACATGTCACTTTCAGACTGTCAAGTCGCAACGTTGGCTAACATTGCATCTTCGGTTTTGGTTTCTGGGAAGCGAGATGGTGGGAGGTGGGGTACCGCACATCCTAGTATCGTACCTTATGAAGCGTTTCCTACATCCGATGGGAGTATTTTGCTGGGCGGAGGGAATGATAGGTTATTCGGGATTCTGTGTACAAAGATCGGATATCCGGAGTGGGCTTCTGACGAGAGGTTTGTGACGAACGAGAAGAGAGTTGAGTACCGGTATATTCTCGTCCCGATGATTGGAGAGGAGACGAAGAGGAGGACTACGCAGGTATATATTCTACCGCCCATTAGACAAGCGCGAATGCTTATAAATTTGTGCTACAGGAGTGGCTGGAGATCTTTGAGGGCAGTGGGATGCCATACGCTGCAGTAAACGATGTTTATGATACTTTACATCATGATCACGGTAAGTTATATCCTGTATCGGTTTTCCAAAACCGTTCTGTCGTATTAACTATTATAAAGTTCTCGCTCGAGGTATGGTTAAGGAGGTCCACCACGAAGCCTGCGGCCAAATTAAGCTCGTCAATACCCCGTTCAAATTCTCAGATGCCGATGCATCTATCCGCCATGCTCCACCAACATTGGGCGAAGACACGAACGATATCCTGAAAGAGTTAGGTTTCACTTCAGACCAAATAGACGGTCTAAAAACCGAAGGAGTTGTTGCATGAGTTATTGACAGACTATCATTGTACAAGTAATTAATCTTGTCGATTAATACTCTTTATCCTTTTGATGGACCATATTATCATCATGGTCCATACTATCCACAGCTCGTAACAAATACATACTACCATGGCGAATATCCACTATCTCCTGAAAGGCGTTCGTCATCTGCAAAGAAGTCAGCATCATCTAGGGGTGGATACTCCATGCCCATATCTTGCTCTTCAACTATCATATTACCCCCTTGAGTATCTTGACCATTTGCGGCTTCATTTCTAAATTGTATTTCCTGAATCTGGTTATTCGGGACCTCTTCACCGATATTCTGTAATACGTCCCGGACAGGGCTCGCAGGCTCGATTTCAATTGGCTCTTCGCGGCTTCCCCGAACCCCAACCTGATTGTTGTAAATATTCGGCAGTACCTGCGGGCGCGGTTCCTGCGTAGGCCACACACCCTGTTGGTTATTCGTAGCCTGCATCGACGGCCACGGTCGAGTTGGCGGAGGTTGGAAGTTATAAACCTGGCTTTGGTACACATTCTCTGGCCTATTCGATTCCTCTACCCCAGTGTAAAGTCTGAACTGGCTTTGCCACCCCAACCGGCTATCTTGCTGTTGCTGAGTGGATGGAGTAGGTTGAAGCAGATCAGGATCCCATGAATTTCTATTACCATTCCGCTGCTGCTGGACAGATTGAGACTGACGCTGGGGTCCTTGAGACATTCGTATCTCTTCAGTTATTTCTTCATGGCCTTGATTTGGACGTGGATTCTCCGTCCTCGCCTGCCCCTGATTGTTAAGTTGAACATTCATATTCTGTGGGAATAATCCAAGAGAAAGTACGTCAGAACGTGATCGCGTCGACCAAGGTCCGAGTATATCACCCATAATGATTTCATCGTTAGTAGAGAGATATCGATCAAGAATCCCGGTCCGCCTCTCAGTCTCTTCAATGGGGGCCATGGGATTCGTCCTTCCAAGTTGGTATCCTAGACGACCTATTGCTTCTTCGAGCGGCGATCGCAGTCCCGGCTGGCCCTGTGACTGTTGAGGTTGGGTATTGCTGTTAGGGGCTTGTTGCAGGACATAAATCGGTGGGTTTATAATCAGATTATGTGTCGGTGGAACTTGAAGATAGAGTGGAGGGTTCATGATCACATTCCGGGGCTGCGAGCCCTGTGAAAACCCGGAGAATGGGTTCGACATCACGTTTTGAGACGGGTTCGCCACGTTTTGATATGGATTCAACATTAAATTTTGGGGCGGATTTGATATCATGTTTTGGGATGGATACTGCGGGACCGGGAAGATATTCGGGGCGTTCGTCCTTATGTACCCACTCCAGGGTGATACTTCTTCCATAGGCAGTCCATCTGAGCGGAGTGATTGAGGACCTCGTCCGCCTACCCCACGCACAGGCTGTGGGTTTCGCACTATCCCACCGGATTGAGTCCTCAACGTGTCTTCTTGACCCCGCCGGTTCGTCCCCGAATTCATGGTATTGGACTGTCCACCGCCACGACCACAACGGCCACGGCCACTCCGTAACCGTCCGCGCTCGATCGATGGCCCTCTTCCCACCAACGGTTCTTCCTCCTCAATCTGCTGCCGCATCATTTCCCCTTCATCCTCCCTCCTCCCAGGAATCCGATCATCAGTCACATCCTCACCACCATTTCCACCTTCCAGCTCTTCAACAATATCACCCAACCGCTCCAAAGCCCTCCTTATCTCCCTCGCATAATCCCGTTGAACATCCCCTCCCTTCAAAATCAACTCCTGCCTAGCAGCAGCAGTAGTCTTCCTCTCCCCATTGATAACCACCGGTTTACCCCCCTCAATATAAATCTTCTTATCATCTCCAAAGTCGTATATATACCCCGAAGGTTCCCCAGCAGCTTGTAAATATACATTATCGGCATCTAAATCCATCCATGACCCCACCCGCGTAATCTTACCCGCCCGGGCAAGATCAGCGAGTTGCATACCGTCGAAATCTTCTCTCCAGCTGATCATATAATCCGGCGTTAGGGGTGGACACCCTTCTTGTTCCCACAGCGCTATACCACGCATTCTTTGTCGAGTGTTTGCAGCAAGTCCCTGGCTTAGACCGTTTATGACCCCTACGGCTACAATTTCCTTGCTTGGGCCGTTCTGACAGGCGGTTAAATCGGCGGGAGGGGTAATGGCGGTGGTATATGGGTACATTAACAAGTCCATTATTGGGTCGCTGGATAGCTGGAAGCCGAGGATGAATGCTTGTGCTGTCCCTGCGAGCTCGAGAAGGAGCACTGCTGCTCTGAAGTGCCGTCGCTTCATGTTGATGATGATGCTATATTAAGTGGTTTGAGGATGGTCCGTGAGTGTGGTAAGCCACGCCTAGCTTGTGTGCATGTGTCGAGCTATGCGAGGCGGTTTCGGAATATTTGAGGTAGATAAATGGGGAGGTTTCGTCGGTGAGCGGTATTCTGCAGTCTTGTCCTTGAGTGCTACCAGAACTCATATCACCCCTGCCAGTGGTCCGGGATAGGACTTCAGTTAGTTCTTCTTCGACTGAACGGGAAAATTCTCATTAAATTCGCTGGCACCGTCACTACCATATCCACAGATATTGGCGAGCATCATGAGAAACTTGTTGGAAAATGTGCGTTGTCTCCCATTGGAGATGTCGGGATGATGAGGTTGGAATGCATGAAATGGTAAAATTCTGGATTAATATAGATGATATAGATGATATAAATGGTAAAAAAAGGATCGCAAATAAAAGCGCCCGCTAACACCGACCCAAAAAATATGCACCCGTGGTATATCTCTCTACAAATCCACCATCTCCTCCATCTTAATACCCCGTAACAGCACAATGGTATTCGCATCCCCACAAGCATCCCCAATCTTCTCCCCAAAGCTCAACAGTCTCCCACTCTCCACGTGGAAAACCCTCAGCTTCTTCTCATCGTCCGCGGACTGATTGTTCAGATTGGGAATCTGTAAGTTCTTCGCCGTGATATCCATAACCCTGCCGACGCTCCATTCTTTATTATAGAAGAAGGTGCCTTCCGGTATCTTGGCGGATGTCGATTTGCCTTCTGCCTGGGCGTAGAGGTATACTCTCTTATCCTGGGCGATCTTCTCGTCGCCCTTAGCATCCTTCTTCAATTTATTCATCTCGACCATTCTTGCAGCTATGGATTTCTGCTTTTGAGTTATCGGTGTCGCCTTGAGATCCTTCAGTTTCGAGCTCCCGCTGCTAGCCCACAGCTTGAATTTGCTCAACGCAGTCTGCTTCCTCTCCTGTATCGTGGCGGCGGCGGGGGTGACAACGGGTTTACAGTCGTGCTGGGCAGGTAATCTATGCGGCAGACAGAATTGTTTTCGACAAGCCGGGCAGCGGACACCGATCATTTTCGGGGTGTTGATGAGTGTTTTACAGTCTTCGTTGGCGCAGGGGCCGGGGGTTGATGAGGACCCGAGACGGATACTGGCGCCGGAGACGAGGGACGTCGGCTTGCTATTCAGGGAGTTTTGACGGCGCCGCTGCGCCCAAAGGCCTTCTTTGGGGCATGTGTGAGATGTTTCGGTGCGGTGGTCGAGGCAGAATGTGCTAGATGAGGAATCATATTGTTAGACCTGCATATTTAAGCTATTGGGCTTCCCTAGGAGGTGGTCCTCTCCCTACCCTTTTGTGTTAAGAAAGAACATACCCTTCGCAGCTACCACATTTAAAGGGTAAGAAGTCCAGCTGATGACATGTTGGAACGTCGCAGTGCTGGCCTATAGCTGTGACGTCGCCGGATGAATCCATGATGGGAGAGGAGCTATCGTTCTCGTCTGTGGGGACGATCTTGCCCTTGCCTTTGAGTTCTGTGGTGAATGACATGGTGAAGACGGGCTCTGGAAGGTGGTTTTTTATATACCGGGAAGGATAGGTATGAGACGAGGCCGCGTAAGTTGTTTGGCTTTGTAATGGGAGTTTACTTGTTTGGGGATGAAGGAAGGAAGGAGGATGAGTGAGGGAGGATGTTTGGGGAGGATGACTTGGGAGAGTGAACGTTCGACAGCCTTCTGGAACGCATGACTTGATTTCCCACAACGCGGCGGCCGCCATTCACGAATAAACCCTGCTGGTTTCCCCGTATTTAGTAATATCTGGGAAAGCTCTTCGGATGGCAGACCCGAGTCAGCTCCTGCCGGATTATCTAACAACGGAATTGGGGTACAGTCTATGATGCCAAATTCGGAGGGTGGTCGTCATCCAGCCGGGATAGTTCAGTGGTAGAATTCTCGCTTCGGGTTTGCCCCAGCACGAGCAAAACGTGCCTGAAGTGTGAGAGGTCCTGGGTTCAACTCCCAGTTTCGGCCATTCTTTTTGCCCTTTTCACCGTCCGCCTTCGGACCTGATCTTTTGCTCCGGGCAATCATGGGGAGTTTGGGTATGAGATATCGTAGATAGATAGATAGCAATCCAGCGACGGCTGGGGTATCTATTATTGTAAATCGTATGTATGCGTGCAGAAGAGATATGATACAAGACTGAAAACCAGATTGCTACCGCATTAAAAAGCACTTTTCACGCCCTAAACTCCACCCAAGGTTTATCGTACAATCCCTCCCAAATCATGACAATGACGCTGAACTACTCGGGCCCTCCAGGGTTTCGCCCGCTGCAAAGTCGATCGCTCGCATGCCCTCAGTTGTCACTCGGACGGCACCAGCCTTAACGAGCTGTACCCCACATGTATATTAGCAAAGGAGGTTTCATAGATTAGGCATTTTGAATTCTGCTTACCGCTGTCTGCAGATCATCGATCAGATCCTCGCAGTCTTCGATGCCGACACACAGTCTGATTAGATCCTCGCTCAGATTGCGCTCCTTGCGTGTCTTTGCATCAATCGATGCATGTGACATGCGTGTGGGCACTAAATAGGAAGTTAGCATCTTCCCTTCTTCCCTTCTTCCTCTATTACAATATTTTGGGAGTCTACTCACTGCTGATAAGGCTGTTCACACAGCCAAAGCTCACACTGATGGCCCACAGCCTCGTCGCCTCAACAATCTTCTCGCTGGCGTCTACGTCTCCGGTCTCGAAGCTCAGCACGGCACCAGCACCGCGGGCCATTCTCCAATGCAAATCATACTGAGGATGACTTCTCAGCCCCGGATACCTAACTTTAAAGCCAGTGTCCTCCAAGAATGTGGCGATGCGCATAGCATTCGCCTGTTGCTTCTCCATACGGACACCCAGGGTTTTGACACCTCGCATGAGTAGCCAAGAATCGAAGGGGCTGAGACCACAACCGCTGGCGTTAATTGTGAAGTAAAGCTTCTCTCCCAGGGATAGATTGTTGACGGCGATGACACCGGCCATGAGGTCGTGATGACCCGACAGATACTTTGTGCCCGATTCGTAGACGATGTCAGCACCGAGGTCGAGGGGGTTTTGGAGCATCGGGGAGAGCATGGTGTTATCGACGGCGACGAGGGCGTTGGGATTTACCTCGTGGGTAATGCGAGCGATTGTGGGGATGTCGACGATTTTGATGAGGGGGTTTGTTGGGGATTCGAGGAGGACGAGTTTTGTCTTGTCATTGAGGTAAGGACGGACGTTCTCCGGGTCGGTATGGTCGATGTGGTGGACGACGATGTCGCCGTGGGTGCTGAGGTACTTGAGGAGACGGTTTGTGCCTCCGTAGATGTCGTCGCCGGCGATTACCTCGTCACCGGGTCTTAAGAGTCTGGAGATGACGTCCATGGCGGCCATGCCGGAGGAGACGGTGAGGCATCGGTTGGCGGACATGATTTTGGCGAGGTGCTTCTCGAGGTGGGAGCGGGTGGGGTTGCCGGAGCGGGTATAGTCGTATTCTGAGCCGCCGGAGCCGGAGGACTGCTTGAAGGTCGCGGTCTACATATGCATACCAGTTAGCATACTATAGTATGTATAGATATAGATATAGATATAGATGAATAGGGAATAGGGAATACCTGGTAGATTGGCATGGAGGAGGCATTGTACTGGTCGCCGTGCTCGGTGTAGACGAGCTCTGTGGCGAGAGCGTACTTTCTCCCGGACCGCGGAGTGGAGGGAGCTGGCGACGGGGGCAGGTTGTTGCCGTCGATGTCCAGCTTGCCCAAGGCCTTTCCCAGGTCGGTTGTTGCCATAGTGTATTGTACTGTACTGTATTGTATTCTATCAATATTCTATGGCAACCAACTATTATTAGTGATGGTGATTGGTAATTGAGGGTTGAGGAAGGGGGAGAGTTACCCACTTAAGTACTTACTGAAGTACTTACTTGCTTGTATGTACGGTGGAGACGAAGGGACGATGAGGTTCTCGTTCTCGTTCTCGTGGTGGAAGAGGAAGAGAAGGAGGATGAGGTTAGGTAGGTCAGTTGGGATGCGGGATTTGGCCCGACGTCGGATAAAAGGCCTCGTCTCCGGTTGGTATGGTCAGAGCACGCAATGAAACATTCACCTCCGCGTCCAATCACCCCGGTCCTTCTGTCTGCATGTCCGCCTATACCCGTATCGCCATTAGGCCCTGAGCACCTTCACCGAGGTAGGTCTAGAGTTATGTAGGGCGTCTTCAGATATCTCTAGATCCGCATATCTGGGGTATATAATATGCATGTAGGTCTGCAAGTAGATTGTTCCGCAGCTGGGAGGAGGGAAAACGCCACAACACGACGGTGCATATACACATATCATGCATTTCCAGTCGACTCTCGAGCTCGCAGCTGCAGGGAATCCCAACCACAACCGCCCTCCGCTCGATTTTAATATGGGTTTGCTCTACTTTGGCCAGTTCATCCTCGTACATACCTTCTTTCTCTCCTTTTATTCAGGAACGAGCCTATGAATCCTTCATCCGCCAAATATATTACAATGCTAGGGCTATCTTGACTGAACGGTTATAATATAATACGGACCGCGAATTAAATGGCGACCAGCAGTTGATGGAGATGGCATCTCTGCTTGGTCCTCAGCTTGGTCCTCAAGTTTCTATCCACTGGACGGCGAAGCTGGTGGTCCTGAACTCGTCGATGGAGTTCTCTCCCCGTACAGTACAATGCTGTCTCGCACAGACCAACCATATCAACCATGTGCTGAAGCCCGGCTACGGCATCTTCCTCGATCTCGATATCCGGTCTAACTGCGATGCCGGACTATAGCTAGTATGCACGTCTTCCTTTCTGGTACTTGTCGGAGCCACCAAAATTACTGATACCAACTTGGACTAGCACAAAGGCATGTGGGTTTAATCCGCCCTCCCGCGACAGGGACAAGCTTCCCCGCATTACTGTTGATTCTTCTGTCTGGTACAGACCAATGCCTTCAGCGTATATACTCCTGGAAGCTTGCAAAATTCAAATATCTTTATTGGTGTGCATCCGGATAACATGTTCGTTCTTGATTATGTTCCCCAAGAATACTTTCGTGATAGTCTTAATTAATAGCTGGCTGGGCTATGAAATCTGTGCCAATTCGCTTGGTAAGGCTCGGGAAGTTCCTGAGTTCCTCACGAGGGCCATCAAGGGTACCATCATGCATTGATAGCAACTATCTGCACAAGTGCACGCATATGTACGTACATGTATGTACATGCTAGGGCCAAAAGTTCATTCTTTGCTCTGGGGAAAATACAGCTAATCTAATATGGGATAAGGAATAGTCTGCACAAAACAATTAAGTACCAACTAACCTCAGGCGTAGATATACTGCTCAAGACTGGATGCAATGGATGAAGAAAACCTGCGATAACCATTTAAACTCCTCTTACTTTTGCCATCTTCTCTTCCCCAATAAGGTGTTGATTCCAATTTGCAACAGAGGAGGATTGCATTGGTCTAACCTGATTCGAAGGCCCCTAATAATAACCAGACGAGACAGGCCGGTACTTGCTTGCTTGCGTAAGTAATGTAACCGTGTGTAAGTAAGTAAATACTTGAGTCTGTGCTATAATAATGGCAGGGGTCGTTGATAGCAGCGGTGGACAAGGGCTTCGACGGTCGCACGGCAGCTCTTGGAAGCTCCAATCGAACACCATCGTGGCCTCAACCTCAACCACAACCACTTCCATACATCATACATCATCATACATCATACTTTACTATCATCATCATCATCCTCATCGGAGATGACCTGACACCAGCTGTCCGCCATGAGATCTCTTCTATCTCTGTTAATACTGTCGCTGGCGTCCACCTGCATCGCCGTCTCCTCGTCGTCCGAGTCCTTCAAACTCGCCTCCTACTCCCCAGGCGATGCTGTCCCTATCTCCTGCCTCAACCGTACCCTGTAAGTCCTTCCCTCTCCTATACTATACTACTAAGATACTACCATAGTATAATGCAGTGTAGTATGGTTATAAGTTGAATGCTAACTTATGACGTATATCAGGGAATCCGGCGAACACGTGACCGACGAACATGGCATCCTCCAATACATCCCCTTCCTCACCTGCGCCGAGACCGGCCGCCCCCTCGAGCTCAAATACCTCTCCGAAGATCCCCTGAACTGCACCGTCAAGGCCATCTCCGACGACGTCTTCCACCTCTGGGAGTTCTACATCCACAACGACTCCCCGCTCGCCTGTCGCGTCCCCGCACGTCCTCAATCCGGTGACAGACAGATCACCGGTGACGTCGGCGTCGAGGCCGGCGAGTGGATCCCATTCGGTACGAATCCCATATATATTCTCAAACTGTATACCTACTACCACGTATATAGCATATACTAACTGTGTATTTACAGTGATATCGCTCACCGGCAAACTCGATCTAACACACCTGCACATCTCCACCACAATCAACGTCATCCTCCACACCGGCGTCTTCTCCCAAGATTCAGCCGAACTCCTCTACCCCGGCACAATCGACTCCGCCACCGCCTACTCCATCTCCCCGAACATCGACTCAACCCGCATCATCATCGGCGACGACCTCCCCCTTCGCTTCAAAATCAGATGGTACACAGGCACAGAGCTCCCCCTCTCCGACTCCGCCGTCAACGACTGGGGTAAAAACAGATGCTACGGCGAGCATGTCACCCTATCTACTTTCATGTACTGCATCTTGACCGCCATATGCACCTCAATCGCCTGCACGGCCTGGTTCTTGGGCTTCGAGTTCCCAAAACGTTTACGAAGAGTCAGGATTGGAAGCGTGGCCGGTAGCGGTTACGCCTTAAGCTCTAACGGTGGTGGTGGTGGTGGTGGTGGTGGTGGTGGCAAGGGCGGCTACGCTACAACCCCCAATGGCTCCGCTGGTGGCGGTGGAGGCTGGTATACCAAGAAGGATTGATCCAAATCGGACATCTCTTGCATATGTTTTTGTCTTTTTTACAAATACCTCCCAAGGCG